GTAGTTGTTTTGACCATAGACTGACCTCCCAGATTCTCTGAGTTTGTTCTTATAGTTTTTTTCTGTTCTCGACTCTTCCATCTGTCGATTTAGTTCTGGGAGGTGCTGTCACGTATGTCAATCTCTGGTTGTTGTCTGTTCTTGTTGGTTCTCAGTCCTCAGAACCAACTGGGAGTGGGGCAATGCACAAGAAAGGAGAGGGGAATGGAAGAATAAGGCAGATGGGAGAACAATTAGGCAGGTTTGCATGGGTTAAGTGGACCAGAGGTAAATAATGATGTATGCATAACCTTGGAACAACAGGGCTCTGGGATGCAGGGATTGGAGCATGGTTGTTATGGGCAAAACGGAGGAAATAATGTTGATACTTGATCATCTTTTGAATCTTTGTTTCTCTTGCATACCATTATAAAATAGATGCTTTGGGGGTGTGGGAGGGGAGAGAAAGGAATAGCCAGAAATATCACCATAGAAAGCTTTTAAGTCCATCTTCTGCATATAATTGATTGGAACACCTAAAATGGGACTACAACGTGCCCAGTGAAGGAAGCTTCCTGCAGACCCTCTGCATTGCATAAGACCATAGGTGGAATCCTGAACCCCATCCATAATCTTCTGAGGTGGGAAATTTCCACTTGAAAGGACAAGCTGGAGCCACTAGAAGAACAGAAGATACTTCTTGAAAGAAAGACTGACAGGAAAAATACAAAACAATAATGGCAGTTCGACTGATTACTACAAGAACAAAGCAAGTGGTCAGGTCCCCTCAGGGCAAACCCCCTTCCAAGACTAAGAATCAATGGGAATACACGACGTTGGTCACCAATAAGGGGAAGTGAGGGAAAAACAAAAATGAAGCTGCAAGCTAAGCCCTACAACGTTCAATAGACTCCTGTGAACCTGGGTAGAAACCTGGTTGGCCAGCAGTGTGGCAAGACCTGGGGACTCTTGGGCCCAGAGTCAGTGACATAGCCACAGGGGACTAGAGTAGAGAGTGAAGCATCCAGCTGATAAGAAGAGAGGGCATATGCACAAGAACACCCACACTTGCAGATAATACCCACTGGACCTGGCTTCAATGACTGGATGATCAGAGCTCAACTAGAAGAAGAAAGAAGAGGAAAAAAAGAGTAATCTGATACAATTTGATGAACTTGACCTACACTTATGGATGTAGTAGCTCAAAAGAGGGAACAAATTTTTACAGTGAGAATCATTCCCACCCCCTCGATACACAGGGTAGACAGGTATGGACAATTTGGACATTAGCTACCCCAAATTGGGGTGGGGGGGATCTATAAAGGCAAGACGTGACTGGCTAACAAGCTTTTAAGAGGGAGCCTAGATCCAGAGGGGTTACAGAGGAAGGTAGAAACTCTACTGAGTAATATCTAATCTGTCTTGATGTGACTGATAAAAGGAGATGGGGATAGCACTCATGTGGTACAATAATAATTACTATCAGGACTGACTGTGAGGGTTGGAAATGTAAAGGTAGATGTTTTGTAACAAAAGAGGGAAGTGATTGACTTTGCTGTCTAGGAGTAGAGTTCCCTGGGACCATCAAGGTAGAAGAGTGGAGTGTGGGATCCTACCCAGAGAAACAGTGATGCCAGAGATGGAGGCAGAGATGATGACATGGAGAGATGTAGCGGCTGGGGACTCTAGACCCAGAGAGGGAGAGGAGCTGTGTGCTGATGACTGGGGGCTTGCTTGCAGGGTATAGCCTTTGATTGGTTGATGATTCATGAAGGGGATTATAACCATGGCAATGTAACGATAAGGGTGAATGTAAAGCTAATGTTCTCCCATGTAAACTATCACATAATTCACAATAAAACATATAAAAAATGTATTGTTACAAAATTATAGAAGTCTTTATATAAACAAAAAGATCAAAATGTGTGAAGGTATTTTTTCTCAACATCTAGGTCAGTACACTTCTGAAGGCAGTGTTTCTATCTCTTTATCCCTTTCCTGAAGAATACTCTTTGTTTTACACCATGTCTAACAGCAGTTTATGCATCCTTAAGGAACTTGAATCATGTTCATTTTTCATTGTTCTTTGAATTTGGCCAGAAAAAGACGTCTAGATGGGCAAGATCAGGGTTGTAGGGTGGATGGGGTAAGATTTATTTAGGAAATTCTTGTAGGACATCTGTCCTTATTGAAGAATGTGCAGGTGCATTGTCATGATGGGGTAAAAAAAAATCTTTGGCACAACTTTCCTGACCTTTTTCTCACCAGTTCAATTTTCAGTTTCCTTAGACCTTTAGAATAAGCCACTGTGATTGTCCTTTGTCCTTCAAGAAAGACTATATAGTTACCCCTTGGGGATACAATAAACCAAAACAGTCCCTTTAGCCTTCTGAAGTGACCCTCCGCCTTGAATTTAACTGGCCCAGCAGATCCCCCCAGAAACCACTGTTTTGAGTAGACTTTTTCTTTTTCAAGGCACCCTAAAACCCTATGCAGCAGGGTCACTATGGGTCAGAACCAACTCAACAGTACTTAACAACAACAACCTACTCAACGGTACTTAGTAACAACAACCTACTCAACGGTACTTAACAACAACAACCTACTCAACGGTACTTA